AATAATAATAATAATAATAATAATAATAATAATAATAATAATAATTTAATGCTGAACAGATATAACATTGCCACAAACCATAGAAGCTGACCAAGTCAAGATCTTATTGGATTTCAATAGACCGCATACTCCTTAAAAAATTGGGTACTTCTTTTCAAGGGCTGATGCTCTGTGCATCTCTGTTCGTACCGGGAGGACTGGTGGAACATATTGACCGAGTGTCGAGAGGATTTTTTTTTTTTTGTTGTTTTTGTTTTTTTGTTTGTTTGTTTTTTTAGTCTAAATGTTGAAGCAACCAAGGCGACTTGGGAATCACATCTAGATACTTGGAAATACCGTTAAGTCGGTGACTGTCTAAGTAGACTGACTTATTCGACCTGAAAGTATTTCTAAAAAAAAAAGACCCATGTACAGTGTTATATGCTATCTTTATCAAAACTAGTCACCGTGTCACGCACATTTGACCTTGATGCACGTGCTTGGTATACATTTATCAGACGAGATGTCATTATAGGTATATTGAACTTCCTATTTTTGTATCAAAGACCTGATATTAGCATCAAAGACAAGAAATTCGGGAAGTGTATGGCTATTGACATAGCAGTACCATCTGGGAGAAACGCTTCAATGAAGATTATCTAGAAATTATCCAAATACAAGGACATGGACATCGAGATTAACCAGATGTGGAGAATTAAGACTGAGACTGTATTAATTGTAATCGGTGCTGTGTGCCTCGTGAGAAAAAGAATGGACCATTTTAGTAACAATTTCCCATGTTACACCAACATACAAGTTGCACAGAAAATCGCCCTACTAGGAACATCCCATATACTAAGAAAAGTGCTATCAATTAAATGATAATTATCCTGTTGGACCTAAGGACCATAGTTTGAACCCGGCTCTACAGGATACAAAACAGGAAACATAACACACAAACAAGAAGAAGAAGAAGTAGATGGAGCCCTCGGATTGATTGGAAAAGATTCCATTAAACTCATTCAATGGATTCCTGGTAGTCTATGTCTTAAAGAAGTACAAAGAATGCAACAAATTTTACTCAAAATTGAAACTCACACATTACGAAGAGCTTTATCTATGTCAAATGTATATGATCTTAAGTTTTGTTTCTTTTTGCAAAAATGATGAGTGGAAATTTTCATGAAGCCATTGCTTGAAGGAAATGTGTATACAACAGAAATCAAAGGAAATAATAATAATAATAATAATAATAATAATAATAATATGACACATGAGGACATCAATAATTCCAGTTGTAGTTGGAGTCCTCGGATTGATTGAAAAAGGTTCCAATAGACTCATTGAAGGGATTCCTGGTAGGCCATGCTTAAAGGGATACAAAAGATTGTACTCACAAGTACAGCCCAGACGTTACGAAGGGCTTTATCTATGTATAATATGTGCAATTTTTTTTTCAAAACTGCTCAGTAGAAAAAAGTCATGATGCCATTTCTGACCTTATGTCTCTGGTAGGGACTCGGAAAGAAATGAGTATACACCAGAAACCAAAGGAAATAAAACAACAACAAAAACAACAACAACGACAATAATAATAATAATAATAATAATAATAATAATAATAATAATAATAATGATGATGTAATGTAACTTTGAAGATCTTCCAAAAACTATCAAAATACAAGGACCTTGAAATCAAAATCTCAAAAATGTGGCACATAAGGACATCAACAATTCCAGTTGTATTTGGATCCCCCGGATTGATTGAAAAAGTTCCGATAGACTCATTGAAAGGATTTCTGGTAGCCCAACCCTTAAAGAAAAACAAAAAAAAAATGTTCTCACGAGTGCAGCCCACACCATACGAAGGGCTTTATCTATGTCAAACGTGCGTGATTTTTTTTTCTGTTTTTGTTCATCTTTTCTTCAAAAATGCTCAGTGGAAAATGTCATGATGCCAAAAAATAAAATTAAAATTTTAAAAAGTATATTAAAGCCCTACTCGAGGCCTGAAGAATTTGGTAAACAGAAGTATCAGAGTCGTACTACAAAACCACCACCCCCTCCTCCACCCGTTTCAGTTTTGAAAGTTCCCCTCCCCACCCCCAAGATATTTTTATCCCCCTACAACTTGCGCTTATTAATATTCTCAAGGAATTCCAACTTGGACAATTTCATAACGTGTCTTCTGAAATCCTCTTTAATTCTTTGTGTTTGTTGAGCAAAATCAAGATAACACTATATACGCATTTCTTTCTCATTCTCAACCTGTTACATTCACTGATGCACAAATAAACCTGGGAAAGGTAAGAATCCATCTTCTCCTACAAGCTATGGTTTAAATAGTAGGATTTTTATTTGATAAAATCATAATTATTTTCTAAAATTGTTAATGCCATATTCACCCGTAAAAATTATTATTCTTACAATCTAGGTTTCTGGTTTAAAGGGTTGATAAACCGTAAAAATAAATCAATCAATCAATTTATCAATTCTCATTCTTAATAAGATGACCTTGCATTGCAATTGAATATTGATAAATACAATTGAAATGGCTAGATGTATATATAATTTCTAAGCTAACAGCTTCTTCTATCGCACTTCTCGCTTGTGGAACTTTCTTCTGGCTTCTTGCTTCCCAGTCAGCTTTGATCTTCAACAATTTAAATCATTTTCTATCTCCTTAATTCTTGTTCTTTTATTGTTCTCTATCTTTAATAGTGTAAAGTGGTGCAAATGGTCTGTTACAAGATTTTTATATGTCACACACGTCAAGACAGACTCTAGACACTAGTGGTCCAATTTCCCATTCAACTTTGATGTTCAAAAATTGAAATGCAACATCAATCATTATCTTCTGTCTTCTTAATTCTTATTCTTTTATTATCCTCTCTCCTTGATAGTATCTTTTCTCATATTCTCTAACACTCAGTAACCTCTTGCGTCTTAGTAGTTTTATTGTCTTGCTTGGGGTGAAATGATTAAAATAGAAAGAATTTTAAAAAAATATGACATCTGAAAGTTGGTTGAAGCAGAACTAATATGGAAACAAATATAAGATCAGAAACGCCATAATGGCTGCGCAAAGTACATTTGAAAAGAGAAACTGAAACTTATTTGTCCAGAACAATTTTATATGAACTATATCAAGGCCAAAGTAGAAAGGAGATTGAAATAGTTACAATCGAGTGCAGAAATTGTTCAAAAAGCGTATAAAGTAAGTATGATTGGCTAAAGACGATCTGGTGGAAATTATGCAAATGAATAGGATTTAATCATACAAACTAATATTATACGCATACACCAGCAGCAGTCTTAAGAGAACACTTCTTCTTAAGTATAATTTTTCTCTTCAAGACGTAGGAAATCATGGCTCTGTACATCTTCCTCTTACGTTTAATATGCGTAAACTGTGCGCTAGAACGATTGTTCTTGGAGAAAGAGAGCGGTGAGATTTCTCGTTGCCTTCTCCACACTTCTGAATTCAAAATTATCGTTCTCCTAGACTGGTTGCCAACCAAGAAAAGAGATCCAGGTCTGTTCTTCTATTTAACCCATTGTTGATCACGGGGAGGAGAGATGGATCAATGCCTTCCCCAAGGATATTTGTGCGAAATAGAACAAAACTGTCTAGGCCGGAATTTGAACCAGGCTCTCTGATTTCATTTTCCACACTTCTAATCGTTAATCCACTCGTACTCCATGAAGAGAATGAATACTGTCGGACGATGGGATTCAAATGGATTACCTAATACAAGCAAGAAGATCAGATCCAGTGATCGTAAACAAAGAGAACAAAAGTTGTCAGATCACATATGGTCCGGTGCCCGTGCTATTTACCTTGAGCACCTCGATAAAATCCAAAGAAGAATCAGCAATATTATTAGTCCTGATCTGGTGACTCGGCTCCAGTCATTTTCCTACCGCCGTAAGGTTGCCTCTCTGTGTCTTTTCTATAAATACTTTCATGGTAATTGTTTGGATGAGCTCCTCGCTATGGGTTCAGACTTTTAAAATTGTTGTTTTATTCCCTCTCCCCTTACAGACAATAAATTGTACTTATGGGGGCTAGTTAGGATTTTCGTAGAGACAATGAGGTATTACGGTGGATGTAGTAAGAAAGGTAAGTAAGAATGTTTTGTTTTGGTGTAAGGAATATTGTTTGTATGTTTGAGTCAGTGTTTTTGGCTAGCTAAGTTTAATGTTAAGACAGAAGAAGACCGTCCTTTTCCCCCATTCCCCGTTTTGGCCTTGTGCCACATTTTCTGTGTATAGCAGAAATAAATATTGCTCTTTTGTGTCTTTTCTATAAATACTTTCATGGTAATTGTTTGGATGAGCTCCTCGCTATGGGTTCAGACTTTTTAAATTGTTGTTTTATTCCCCCTCCCCTCACAGACACTAAATTGTACATATGGGGACTAGTTAGGACTTTCATAGAGACATTGTGGTATTATGGTGAATGTATTAAGAAAGGTAAGTAAGAATGCGTTGTTTTGGTGTTAGGAACATTGTTGTATGTTTGGGTCAGTGATTGTGGCTAGCTAAGTTTTAATTTAAGTCAGAAGAATGCTGTCGTTGTCCCCATTTTGGCCTTGTGCCACATTTTGTATTTTTTATAAATAAATATCGTTCTTCAGTATGCAACCCAGACCTTTTGAATTTAAGCGCAGTAGTATATTGTCAGCGAGAAGTAATCAATTTACACTTGAGTTGGCGAGATATAACCATAAATTATCTGTTAACAGTTTCTTTTCTCGCACCTCTCACTAGTGGAACTCCCTTCCGATCCCATGCTTTCCAGCCAACTTTAATCTGCAAAAATTTAAATGCAATGTCAATCGGTATCTACTGTACTCCTGATTTTTCTTTCCTCTTCCCGCTTATTATTAATGTATCTGTTCCCAAGTCTTCCACACCCTGTAACCCCACCCCTTGTGTCTTAGTGACTTTATTGCCTTGCATGGGGTGATACCGATTAAAAAATAAATAAATAAAGTTGTTGATATTGCTGCTTGCTCAAAGAGTAAAACAAAAAGAAACTAAAACGCTAGTGTATATTCAAACATTTCAGAATAACGATTAGTATCCACCAAATAACTGCTAAGATAACAAAATGGAATTTACTATCAATAATGCACCATTGTCCAGCATATATAAATAGTCCAACCAAAACAGTACACATGCCCTGAAGATTGTATTCAAGCATGCCACTCCATAAGAGCAAGTGATTACTTTTCACGGTTTATCATGTCTTGCTAATGTTGCCAATACCTTACAGCAGTTTTCACTTCTTTATCACCACCATAATGTTTGTCCCTCAGTGCGTCCTTCATTTAACCAAAGAAAATCTGAGATTGCTAAGTCAGGTGGTGATGAAAAAGTGAAAATTCCTGTAAGGAATTGGCCACATCAACAACCAGCTGACTTTTACAAAGCTGAGATACATGCCATCAATCATAAGTGGAACACTGCCATTGAGAGAGGTAGGGACTACGTTGAGAAGTAGGGATGTGAGCCTATGATATCTAGCTGGATGTGTTTGATTGCATTTCTTATCTTTTATATAATAAAACAAATTGCCTTACTTTTTGACTCATCCTAGTATAATTGACAACTGTTTAGCCGAATCAAAAGGAAAACATCTGACCATGATGAGTACTTGTTATGGGACCTTACCCATAATAACATAATGGACTATTCCATACGTAATAGATACTGCGCCTCAAGAGGAAGTAGGGAGTTCAGACCGAAGTCAGGCGACCGGCTGACTGGCTGATCGGTTGAACTCTCTGCCGGAGGAACCCGAACGAGGCTACGCCGAAGGGCAGAGTCTCTTTCGGGGAGGTAAACCGACCCTGAACCCGTTTATACGGGTTCAATGGGCATATTTTTGGCCGGGCCCACGGGCTCGGAAGTCCCACGTTAAAAAGGCCTTGTGTCACATGACGCCCTCGTGGGAGGGTAACTGAATATCGTTCAGACCGAAGTCGGGCGACCGGCTGAACGGTTGAACTCTCTGCCTTCGGGCGGGGAGGAACCCGAACGAGGCTACGCCGAAGGGCGGAGTCTCTTTCGGGGAGGTAAACCGACCCTGAACCCGTTTATACGGGTTCAAAGGGCATATTTTTGGCCGAGCCCACGGACTCGGAGATCCCACGTTAAACCGGCCTTGTGCCACATGATGCCCTCGTGGGGGGTGGGGTGACTAAATACTGTTCCGTCTGAAGTCTGGAGTGAAGTCTGAAGTCTGGAGTGAAGTCCGTCAGGAGTCTGTCAGTCAGTCAGAGCGAGTCAGTCAGTCGAGTCAGAGGCAGTCCGAAACAGAGTCGCGTTCAGACAATTACTATTAAACCTGATTGTTCGCACGAACACTTTCTACTTCTCTGTATATATTCCTGTTTGTAATATATCTGTGTTATTCCATATCCGTGTTCGAGTTCTTCTTTAATGGTTCTACCTTGGACTATCACCGTGGTACAAAGAACCGGACCATAACAGTACTTCAATGTGAAATTCTACAGTTAAAATTTATTAAGCACTACAAAGGACAGAAAATTGTGGAGAGCCATGATTGCCAAAATATTGAGCCAGTCCTGAAGAGCATTGTAAAGAGGCTAAATAAAGTGGATAGCTGTGGAAGAATCGAAAGCAACAACGTTACTTAAATAAGCAAACATACTGAAAAGCGTGCTAGAGTATTGAGGAGACTTACTGTTAATTGATCTCTAGAGAAAGTCACTTTTTCATAAAGGCGTAAAAAAAAACATCAACAATTACAAAATTATAATAAAAAAAAAGCAAAAAAAAAAAAAACAACCAGACCACAGCATTAGTAAAATTAGCAACAGTACAGAGGAGAGTACTAAAGTACTGAGAAGAGCTGTCAGTTAATCTGTTGTGAAAGCTACTAATTACTTATAGTGTGAAAAGTACCAATAACACATCAGTAATTGCAGTCATGGTTACGATCTTGGGTTTGATTGAAAAATGTTCTGCTAAGCTCATTGAAGGTTTCTCTGTTAACACATCACTTAATGAAAATACAAAAAATTGTTCTCACAGTTCTCTCCCTATGAAAAGCTTCATCTATGTAAAATGAGCATATGTTGTTTTTTTATTTTTAATATTCTGTTTTGTTTTTGTTTTGTTTTTTTATTTTATCTTATAGAAATGTGCAGGGGGAAATGTCATCTTGCCATTTCTTACCTTAGGTCTCTTGTTGGGACACAGGAAAAAATGAGTATACAACAGAAAACCATCAATTTACGAGGGACCTTGAAATCGAAATCTCAAAAATGTGGCACCTGGAGACATCAACAAATCCAGTTGAGGTTGGACCCCTCGGTTTGATTGAAAAAGGTTCCGATAGACTTATTGAAGGGATCCCTGGTAACCCAGGCCTTAAAGAAATACAAAAAGTTGTATTCATAAGTACAGCTCAGAGCTTACGAAGAGCTTTTTCTATGTCAAATATGTATGATCTTTGGGGGGTTTTTTTTGTTTTGTTTTGTTTTTTGG